CATCTAGTCCTCCTTCTTTACCTGTTCTTTATTCCTTACCCCTCTCTGTTTGGTTACTTTGCCCGCACATTTTAGGAGTTATCCAGGCTGAGTCTAGGGTCCTTCTTCACCTCCTCACCCTTGAGGCCCGCAGGGCTGGCTGTCCCTCATCTGGCTGTGGTCATCTTCTGCAGCAGCTGGTGTGGTCCTGGCATGTGGATGCAGGAGACCTTGTTTAGTTGCAAATGTGCTGGATGTAACACAGGGTTTCAAGTTGAAGCTGTAGGTCCGCTGCTTGTTGGCTGTGGGCTCTTGGCCAAGTCGTAGCCATGCCTGAGCACCCTGCCATGCCAGTGGTCACCACTGGCCTCTGCAGGCTGTGGCGGGAACGTGTCTGGCCAGTGCAGAGAGCTGTACAGATGCTCGTGCCCCCAGTCACAAGTGCCCCTGGAGCTTGAAGTTGTGCTTGAGTAGCAGCTCTTCCATTTCTATTGGAAACGGACTTATTCCTGCTTGGTTGTTTTCTAAGAGACCAAAAACACTTTAAAAATTGAGTTTGTGTTTATTGGAGAGATTCTTTTATGAACTTTAATATCTTAAGCTTTTCTAACAACAAACTACAGTTTCCCAAAGGAAACTATTTTTTAAATGTGAATTTTATATGTATAAATTTATGCTTTGACTTTTAGGAGTCATCCTAGTTCTTAGAAGTAGTAGTTAAGTATTAAGTAAGTGTCTCATTTTGGCTGCTGTGCTGTCACTGGTGGGAGAATATATCAAAATGGTTCCTTGCTGTATAATCTTACTATCGTGATAGGAAATATATCTTACCCATAAGTAACACTAGTAAATTCAAATAAGATTTTCCTTCATTCAACAAATATTTGACCCTCAACTGTGTCCGTGGCACCATACTAGACCCTACAGATAATTTAGAAATGGAAGCTTTGGGCTTTTTCTGCCACAAGACAGAAAGCCACACCAGTGGGTGAGGTAGGCACATAAATGATGTCAGCTACAGCGCGTGAGGCCGTGGGGGCTCCAGGGCTGAGCTTTGCAGGGTGTGGAGTGGGGAGGGGGCCGTCGGTGAGCTGGGGTTTGAGTCAAGACTCAGACACCGTCACCAAGGGCTGAAGGCACGTAGGCCGCAGAGAAGAGGGAGCATATGGATCAGGGGATGGCATGGGGCCGAGGGGCTGAGGGAGCTGGCAGAGGGTGGCAGGAGGGCCTAATGCTTTGTGGGGTGAAAAGAAGTAAATGCGGGGCTACCGCCTTTGAGGTACTTTTAGGTGGTACATTTGTCACACAAATGCGAGATGTATTGGTGCCAAACCATACCGAATCCAGAGGCAAATGAATCTTATAGACACTGGCGTCTGTAAAGTTCAGAAAAACGGCTGCTGGGCCATAGAACTGGGTACAGAGAACCCCCACCCTCCAGAAATGTTAGTTCTTCAAGTACACACTTAAGGCTTGAGGGACATGCCTCTGATTCAGTGCGCCGGGGGCTGAGTAATTAGGAGCTCCGGGACAGAAAGGGTCCAGGTGACTGGAGGCTTTCCTGGGTGAGGTCGCTGTCAACCCGGTTTCTGGGTAGAACAGATTAAGAGCCGGTCTGGACCTAGGGTCCTGTTCCCCAGGGAGGTGCATCCCCTGGGGAGAGGGACAGCCATCTCCCTACCCTCCTTAGCTGAGAAGCGAGTTAATGCCCTGCTGGAAGATTCTTACTGTCCAACCTGGGCAGGCTGCTTTCTCTCTTTAGGGCTTATATCCCTGTGGGAGGGAAACAGTCCAAAGAGAATTCCAAAAGACTGATCTCAAGGTAAGCCAAGCCTTTAGCATCTGTTAATCACCTTGAACTTGACCCGTTCTTACTGATTTGCATGGAAGTGAGGGCTGCATGGAGGAGCCCGGAATTTCCTCAAGGCCATGGGGGACATTTTGACTGAGTATGTGAAAATTTTGCCAGGAGGAGACAGGGGTAGCAGAGGGTAGCTTTATTTCAGGAAAAGGGGAGAACAAGAGCAGATCCTAGAGCTGTGTTGTGTAAGGGGTGATGGGAAGAATAAAGCCGGGCAAGTAAAGGGCCCTGAGGGCTGTGCTGGGGAGGTTAGGTGTCACCTTAGAGCCATGGAAAGACCTTGTGTTGAGCAAAAGAAGCCTACATGTTGTATAATTTCATGTGTATGAAGTTCAAGGACAGCTGCTCTCCCAGGTGCTAATTTCCTGATGTGTTTTGAAGTTTCACCTGTGTTGTATATTGGTACCTGTTACTCAGCGGGGGCAGATTTAAGTGGCAGGGGTGGGCTTGGGCAGGGAGAACGCAGGACACTTACAGTCTAAGCAAGGGGTGAATTCAAGACGAGCAGGTGGCCTGAGATACTCAGGGGTGTTACCACTTGGCCGGATGTTGTCGGTGTCGGGTCTGGAAGACGCGTCCACCCTCCTGCTCCCTGCGGAGCCCTGTGCTTTTGCTCTGCATGTCACAGAAGCAGTGGGGCAGTGGCCGAGCACAGGCTTTAGAGTCAGGCAGACCTGAGTTCTAACTGCACCTCTAACCTTGGACAAAGATGGAGGACTTCACCTTTTTGAGAATGTCATCTAAAAGATGAGGCTAATACCTACTGATTAGAGTGTCTGGGAAGATCAAATGAAGAGATGATCTTAGCCCAGTGAATGGCAGAGGTTAAGGACTGCACACAGGGTCACTACTGCTACTGCTTTAATTAACGATTGTTATTTCAGGACAGGTATCTAGATGCCAGAGAGTGATGGGAGTTGGAGGGATTCCTGAGGGAAGACTTGGGCTGGGGAGGGGAAAGGGGCTGCAGGCAGAGTGAAGAAGCCTGTTTTGTAGCCCTCGGGTCTTCGTGCTGGGGGGACTGGCGTAGGCGGGGCGCGGCTGCCTTGGGTTCACTGTGCCCCAGGGCTGCTAAGAGGAGGGAAGGGTCTTGGAGTTCCTATCTGAGTGATGTTTTTGAGTTGTTTGACACCTAACACAGAAGGTCACGCTGGCAGGGAGAGGCTAGCAAGCCCATCTCTGACAGCGGGCTTCACAGTTCTTCCTGCAAAGCTATATTTGGAAGTGTGATTAAAGCCCTACTTTCCAGGCTTACTGGTAGTCTTAGTTGTTTTCAGGTCAAGTTCAGTGGTCCTCCGCAGAGATGCCGTTGGTAGATGTGGAGAGGGCCTGGTGCAAAGAAGAGCGGCAGGTGCTCTGTCCAGGGCTCTCAGCCGTGAGCTAGTAAACCCGGGAGCTTCCTTCTCGTTTAGTCCTTGAGCTTAAGTAAAGGTGCTTAAACCATTCCCCCGCCTGCTCCCCCCACACTTTTTTTTCTTTTCCTTCTGCTTTTTTTTTTTTTTTTCCTTGCGTTATGC